AAAAATGGTGCTAAGCTTTCGTCCGTCATATGACGGACATCATTAAAGCAAGGTTTCATCGTCACAACAAAATTCAAGCTAACGAGTCAAGAAAATTTTGAATTTTGTTTTGACGATGATACCTTGCTCTGATGATTTTCGTCATATGACAGACGAAAGCCTAGCACCTTTTCACCGTAATCGAAGAAGATTACCTCGGAAACAGCGCCAGCATGAATGTTCCAGTAAAGCCAATCGACAGTTGGTCAAGAGGAATCCGCCGTCGTTTTCTGGTGGAACCGACCCTTGAATCTCTTCACCCAACACTTTCACTCGAAAGCCAACTTTTCTTCGCATACAAACTAGAACTCGTCAAAGAGACAAGTAGAGTCAATCCCTTGATCAACTTTCTGTAGATTTGGTTTTGCTATCACTCCTCTAGTCTCGCCCTTCTCCTATCACAACTGTTGACATGTTTATATTTCACAAGAGATGTGCCATTTTGGCGAATATACCATGGCGTAATTACACCTGCTGTCGACCTTGCTCCCCTCCCTTTCGCGTGGCGGATCCTGCTCTAGTCTCCTGTCCGGATCTGCCTCATGGGCTCCTGGATCCATTTCTTATCTTTCTCGTTGACCGATTTCTCTCGGTTCCAGCCCCAGTGTACTTGTACTCCAGATACTACTTCTCAAGACTTCAGTAGCACGTACAAAGTCGCCTTATCTTGAGAGCGCCAATGCTCTGATTCCTATGTCTGCGGATATTAGGCACTACCTCCACGCATCATCTCCTCGATCGAGCCCGTGTAACCTGAGCAAAGTGTGGACATCCATATCTGGTTGCCTGCTGCATCTCAAGTGGATTATGAGCCATTTGGTAACTATGCCTGATTTCTGTGACCCACTCCCTTGCCCTAGTCACGAGAAAAGTCAGGCTTATTCGAGTTGACTACACTTACTGAGAACTTCTCTGCTTCATTTCCGAAACTTCCTCACCCTCTTCTTCCTTGCGACCTCTTTTCCTCTGGCTTACGATAGATTCTCGATTCAGGCGTCTCCTTTTTGCGTGACTAGCTTGTGAAGAGTGTTGTTTTTCCTTTTATTGTCACCTGAAGATTCCATTTTCTCAATATTGGCTGTAGTTTCCAGGAAGGCATACATATCCACTTTTGTGAGTCTCTCTCCATCCTTACCTTTCTTTTATAATCTCCGTCCTTCCATCGGCTTTTTACGGCCAGTATGTTTCTTTGAATTACTTTTCTCGGATATCCATTAACGAGGAATGTGCGAGTCAATTTTTCCCATTCTTCATCCCATAATTCCACGTGCGTTAATTGTAGGCTTCTGATAAACATACTTCTCACTATGCCTATCTTCATTCTGAGATTCGAAATTGAGTACTATTCCGGCATATGACTTCTTTCGGAACAATTTCCTGTTGAGTGTCCGAGTAGAGCGAATAACCTCCACATCTAGGAATTTGATTTTTTCATCAACTTCGCTCACAGACTTTAGGAAATCCTCCAACTTTTCTCTTCCATGCGATCATATTGCAAAATATTCATCAAAATACCGCATAAGAACTCTTGGTCGCAGCGATGACACCATGAAATTCTCTTCTAATTTGTCCATATAAACATTTACCAATAAAGGTGACAGAGGTGATCCCAAATGTCTGTTCATAGATGTTGTCATTGAATGTGAAGTACGTAGTACTTATTGTCAAGTTGATAAAAAGTGTTAACGACTCTCTTCTCATACTCTCTGCTTCTAGGATATCCTCTTCTCGATCCAAAATTTCTAACATGGCCGTCAGTGAGTTTTCTTCAGAAATATTTGCGTACTTAGATTGTACATCGAAACTTACCAGTAATGTTGTTTATTCCATTATTATGTTTTTGATTCTCTGAGAAAATTCATATGAGTGCTTCGCTGTGCTTAATATTCTGTTGTTTACCTTCTTGAGTTTCATACATATGAACTTGGC